TAAATACTGATAAAAGTAACTAAGTAAAATAAACTAAAATATTTCTAATTTACTATTACAGACTATTTAAAATAAATACAATAAATAGAAACTACAAACATAATTATACATTCCACTAAAAGTCACAAGTAACATCATAGATGTCTTACTGATACTGATGATATGTGTGTCTTTCCAAAAAGATGCTCTGGTGGCTCCTTACTGCTCGTATTATCCTTATTAGAACTTACGTATAAAAATCTTCACGCGTAAGTATAACTTAGTGATGCAGTAATAATTTAAGGTGAGAAAATCTGAAAATATCATAAACATAAATAAAATAATTCAACTTAAAACATTAAACTGGCAAAACAACTTATCCAAGTTGATTTATTCACTGAGACCTGAAATTTCTTTTAAGTCGTGAACTCATGAATATTCTGATAAACAATATTTGATAAAATAAACATATCATGCTTTCTGTAAACTGTAAATCATTCACAACTTGCATATTCATTTTCATAACCTAATGCATATTTATGAGAACATAAGATACGTGAGTAATGTGCGCACTATGCACAACACGGTGCAAATCGTAACTGATACTGGATATAATGCACTTCAGTGCAATCATAACCTGAACACCAATGGTGCTGGACATTGGTACATGAATGTACCAAAGCTGATATGATAACTGATAACATTGATACATGAATGTATCAAAATTGATAATAGATAAATACTCAACTAATGACATGCCAAGTATACCAATAATTCTCATTATACATACAATGGGCTCATGTATCATAATTAAATCCATAATCAAAATATCATGTTTGGGCAGTTCATACCCTAAATCATTTATAAAACTGATATAAAATATTATAAAAATATTCTTTATAAACTTTATAAATCATACTGTAAATTGGAATGAGGTTGATTTATCACAAGTCGTCCTCGATCGTAATAATTAAATAAATAAAATGCACTCACCTTTGCCTCACTATAGATTCCTTTACGCGATATTTATAATCATGTACTTTTTCTTCCTTTCGAATCGTCTCGATTGTTAGATTTTCGTGGTCTGGCAATACCAAATAATAACACAAAGTGTTCGAACTACATATTAGTATAGTACTAATATAAGTTGATTTTAACATTCGGGAATTTATAAAATAAAAATCAGAATTAAAACAATATCTCAATAACCATGTCTCCACCATAATTTCTAACTTCTCAAAATACTCATACAAATCCACGAATATTTATTTTTCATCCTTAACCCTTCATCTTTTGTAATTTACACAAATAAGCCTAAAGTTATGAATTTTTTTAGAATTCACCTCAACCTTTCCATTTAGTTCATAATGGTCCTTCACCATTAAAATCATTGCACATTAATTATAAAAATTCCATCACTTTACTAAAAAGCTCAAATAAATACTTCAACATTCCAACATTTATAATTTCAACTCAAACTTTCCTAACTTTTGATTTTCACCACCTAACTTTATAAATTTGTAATTCAACCCCAACTCAATATTTAATTCAAAATTCAGCATGCAAATAAATTTTCCAGCATTTCATAATTTACTCAAATAATACTTCTTCATTTAAGAACTTACAACAAGTCCCCAAAGTTTTGGGACCTTTCGAATTCCACCTCAAGGTTTACCAAATTTGCACTTTGGTTTTCAAACAACTTTCCAACTAAAATTCCAGCATTATAAATATCAAAATCAACATTAAATCCTTCAAGTATTTTAACCTTACAATAATATCCCACAATTCAAAAACTTTTAAACTAACCCTTTTTCACTTTTAAGGTCCCAAATTGATCCAAATCAATCTCCAAACAACATAGAATACTTCTAATATCATTTCTAATCCATAGAAAAATTTTCAACATTTCCCCCAATTTTCTTTCCTGTAGCCGAATACATTAAAGTCACCTAGGGGGACTTTTTGTTCAATTTCAAGCATGAATTCAACATTCTATGATTAAATTCATGCATTTCCAATCATCATAACATCAATTTGAATCAAAATCTCATCATTCTCACAAACCCTAACATGGCCAAATCTTATTTACACATGTACAATTAGTTCTAACTTTGTACATGCTTTAAAAATAATCACTAACATCAAAAACATAAAAATTCTACAACAACTCTTTAAAATCACTAAACTCTCCATAACCCTAATCATCAAATCTCATCACATAATCATCTTCACCATGAAATTTTGGATAAAAAATATTAGAGAATTTCAGATTAATTCTCTATCTAATAGCTAAACTCAAAAATCAAGTAAATAACTTCAAAATTCAAACTAAAATTTACCTTGAAAGCTTGAAGGTTCGGCCTTGAGAAGAAGCAATCTGAAAAATGCTCAATCTTCTTGATTATTCTAATGTTAAATAAATCCTAACACATGGCTTAATATAATATAATGTAATTTTTTATTCAATTAATAGAAAATTCCATTTTTTCATTAATGAAACTTAAAATTACCAATTTCCATTTCTAACATCCTTCAAATTTTCGTAAAATTCTGGATCTATCCGAATATTCGATTTTAATACTAAATTTTACCACTTTATAGCTTTTAACACAAATCTCGTACCGAAAATCTGATTCCCACTAAAATTTTTGTTTTAATCCAAACTATTCATTTTCATGCTAAAATATATAACTTTTAAAAATTACAAATTCGGTACCTAAACTTTTCATAATTTATACTTTAACCATTAAACTTTCAAAATTTATATTTTAGTCACTAAATAAAATTTGGGATATTACAAACTGATACCACAAATGTTGGTAAAACAGTCAAAAAAAATGCTCAAAAGAAATAAGTGATATGAACATAAAATACTGATTTTTTCCATTCAGAAAGATCATTGAGTACATGGTTTAAATAATAAAAAGTGTTAACTGAAAATACTACGAAATTAGGAAGACAAACCCACGATCAGATTTGGTGTCAAATATAACTGACAACTAAACAGCTAAATGAATATAGCTGACCACTAAACAACTAAACGATAGAAAACATAATAAAAACAAATGATCAAATAATAATAATTGTCTTATAACAATTTGAATCACCCTTTCAACATTTTTCTCAAAACCTAGATCTGCAATATGAATCTAATCTTTGGTCTCAAACTATTCAATTTTATTTCTGCTTGTATTCCTCCTAATCTTATTCTATTTCATTTTGTTTCATGGATCAAGTAAACTTTCATTTGAAAATACATATAATTGCTTCTTTCTTTATTTTCTGTGGTTGCAAGTAAATGTATTGGATTCTGCACTTGACGCATGTAATCAAATTATTAGTTTTTGATAGCAAAATAACACTAAATAATATAGATTTTTGGAAGAAACTCAAATCTTATCTAATTTTCCAGCGTGTTGGTTATAGATTTCTGATTATACACCGAAAATATTATAATCCTAAAGTGCGAGCCATTTGTATTAATTTGAACACGAATGTGAATTTAAATACCCACTAATTTGCATTATCAATCTATTATATACAATAATTTCATTAGCTTACCGTTTAGCTTTTCCTATTAGTTGAAGGATGTATATTTTTTTTCTTTTCTCGATCCTCGTGTAGTGTGATAACCTTTTTGGGTAGTTTTGTATCGTTAGGTCGACTTCGGTTACTACCAGCTCTTCAACCAAGTTGGCAAAAGTAGGAGTTAAGAAAAACGTGTTAAAAGCCCTTTCAATTGCACTTGAGCTGAAACTGTCGGACTTGGGACTCTGCTTGTGTTGTATGATTGTCCTAGTTTGTTATCAGGGAATATCTCTGAATTTTTTCCAACTGTAACCATGGATTTCATACCTGATGCATTGATAAATGACATAGTTCGGATTTTTCATGTCCTACGTGCAAGCACTACCTGACTGAAACAAATCAAAAGACTATTGTTAACTGCAACAAGACAAAATCATTGGAATATTATGTTCTGATGTAGGAATATGTATAGCAGCCCATGAAAATTTTACCATTGCGTCCGCAATTCGATTACCATCGCACAGTACATGAGAAAACTGTAGTTGTCAATTACGAGTAATCATTTCGATCACGTGTTGAATTATAGGAGAGACGTCATCCATTGCCACACCTTGACAAAGTAGATTAAACACCTCCCTACAATTAAATTTGTAAATATTTGGATAAACACCTTAAGCCGCCAAAAACAATTAAGTTTCCTCTCTCTTGGTTCAACAATCACTCGTCAATGGTGGATAAGCAAGTTGGAGAAAATAAAGGATCTTGTTTCCTCTATCTTTCAATTCGGTATAAGAAAGAATAAAGAGAAATAAGGTGATTTCACCTAAATGCCTATTTAACTCATTTTCCTTAAAATCAACAATTTCATATTATTAATCAGAATATAAATTAATTTAATATAAAAATGACACCTATACTCAATTTGTATGACTTTCCACTAAACAATACAATATGCAAGATAACTCTCCGTAAGAAGAATTTTAGAGTTTATCTTAGTTAATAAAACATTTTTTTATTTAGGAGTTTGAATTATTTAGATGGAAATCTATTTATTTATTCAAAAATTGGTATATCAAATAATTACTTTTATTTAAATACGTATTATTAAGCATTCAACGATAGCTGTCCTGTATGATGAGAAAATAATTTAATAACTTTAATTATTAAAAAACTATTTAGAGAAGTTGACTACAATTGGTCAATCTTTTCGTCTCATCTTCTTTTTTCTTTCTCACTTTTTTTTCGTTTGACCTACTATCTTATTTTTTTTCTCATACTCACCTACCGCACATCTTAATCTGATCGATTTTGGCATGGATGAAGACATCAAGAAGCTGGCCAGATGATCCGCAAATAACTTGATACGCCACCCCACTTGGAAAGCAACCTCAGACTATTATTTCACACCATAATCACCATAAGTTTTACTGTTTATATCCACCTCGTTTTCTGTTAGTAAGGGAGATTCATCATATTCACCTTGAATTTTAGGTTCAGTTCATTGATTAGTTATTATTTCCTCTAAGATGGTTTCAACTGGATCTAAACCACATGCAGTATGCCTACCATTCCCATCACAAGGCCATGTTAACCCCATGATGCAACTGGCTAAGCTCTTGCATTCAAGAGGCTTCCATATAACCTTTGTCAACTCCGAGTTCAACCATAGACGATTGATCCGGTCTAGAGGGGTAGAAGCCGTTAAGGGTCTGCCGAATTTCCAATTCGAAACCATCCCCGATGGGCTGCCACCTTCTGATGCCGATGCAACTCAGCCTGTTCCTCTAATATGTGATTCCACACGAAGAACTTGTTTCACACCATTCTTGGAACTACTCTCTAAGTTGAATTCCTCACCCCAAGTGTCGCCTGTTATTTGCGTAGTTTCTGATGGAATCATGAACTGTGGAACCAAGGCTGCTCAAGTCATCGGGGTGCCTTATGTTCAACTCTGGACTTCTTCCACTATTAGCTTTATGGGATATCTTCAATACAAAGAACTTGTTCAAACAGGCATTGTTCCATTCAAAGGTTACAAACACAAATTATTTTAGGCTTTCCTTTTACTAGTTTGTTACTTGATCTTCTATTTATCTTATGTTATTATTCCTTGCAAATGAGAACTTTGTTAGCGATGGGACACTTGAGAAGCCGATTGATATCCCCGGTATGCCTAATATGCGCTACAAGGATATGCCGAGCTTAATAAGAACAACCGATCCCAAAGACATCATGTTGAATTTCTGCATGGAAGTATCGCAAGAATGCTTAGAATTTTCTTCAATAATCTTCAACACATTCGATGAGATCGACAAAGAAGTGCTGCAAGTTCTTGCGGACAGAACCTCAAATATTTATGCAATTGGTCCACTTGCCTCGCTCTGTAGGAACATTAACATACCCAAAATCCAACACGACTCGCTAAATTCAAGCATATGGAAGGAAGACACAAGCTGCATCGAATGGCTTAACACAATGGAGCCTAACTCGGTTTTGTATGTGAATTATGGGAGTGTAACAGTATGTCATCTAAAAGATTTGCTTGGGGACTTGCAAACAGTAAGTACCCGTTTTTATGTATAGTGAGACCCGATGTCGTAATGGGTGAATCAGATGTTTTGCCAACAGAATTCATGGAGGAAATAAAAGGAAGGGGCTTCATCACTGTTGGAAGAATGATCGAGCTACAGGCTAATGTGCGTAACATACTGAATGGTGTGCATGGAGAAGATTCAAGAAGCCTGAAGTTAAGCTCATTGTTGTTGATGTATGGTGTATTGCAGGCAATCAGAGCCATAGATTGTTAGGATATTGTTACACGGATTCATTTGTCAAAGTTTGTTATGAAGGTTGCTTCTTAGTTCAGCAACCTAAATGTTATATAATTCATGTACATCTGCACTGAAAATGCAATGGAATTCAGTAATTGTTTTTGAATTTATTCTTATTTTTTAACATGGTATCTTTCGCTAAGGATCCTAGGGCTCCTGTGCTTGTTGCTGCTTAATCTCTTAGTTCCTGCTGAGCATCATGTTTACCAATAAAAAGGTTAATGTGGTGCTAGACGAGACAAACTACCTGTTGTGGAGGCATCAGGTCCTGCTTACGGTGCGCAGCCATCGTTTGGAGCGGCTCCTCAATGGCACAATGCCTATTCCACCTGAGTTTACTGTCAATGCTGAAGGTACATCGGTTGTTAATGAGGCATTTGAGGATTACATGGAACAGGATAGTGCTCTCGCCTCATGGCTTTTATCGACAATTAGTGCTCCCCTCCTACCACAGTTTGTTGGAGCTGAAACTGCAGCAGCTGTGTGGAACATCGTTGTTCAGTTCTTTGCTAACAAATCCACAACTACAGTGATGAACTTGCACTATAAGCTGCAATCACTGAGGAAGGGTGATGATTCCATGCATGTGTACCTCACTCGAATCAAAGAAGTCTGTGATGCTCTTGCATCATGTGGCAGCCCGATTTCACAGGTGGAGCATGTGGTTAGCATTCTGAAAGGCTTGCCGAGAGAATACCAATTGTTTATGGATGTTATTACATCGAGCCCTGAAACACTATCCCTTGATCGAGTATACTCTATGTTGGTTGATGCAGAGACACAATTAGTTGGCTTCGATTCGTAACCTGAGAATTTCCCTATAAGTGCTAATGTCGATCATGGAAAAATTCCTGGTAGATCTACTGGATCTGAAAACTCTCATGAATTCAAGCAACAATCATCAACAGTGCGTGGTGGTCGAGCTGGTGGTAGAGGTAGAGCACGGCTGTAATGTCAGTTATGTGGTAAGGTTGGCCATTCGGTTGATCGATGCTGGTACATGTTTGACCGAGACTTTACTGGAATTCTTGCCACTAATGCTCGAATGCAATTTAAGGATGATTCGAGCAGTTCTAACTATGTTAATCTTGATAGTGTTGCTTGTACGTGCTGTGCTAATAAGTCAGGAACCAATTCAGTGGCTACACGGGGCGCTGCAGCTCCTTCTACAAATGTGACAACAACTTGTGCTAAGTGGATCATGGACTCGGGCGCGACGCATCATGTCACTCCAGATGCTGCTCATATCAACCATCCCACTGATCTTAATGGACCAGGTAATCTCGTGGTTGGAAATGGTTCCTCTCTTAGTGTTCAATCAGTAGGTTGATCTGTGTTACGATCGTCTTCTCAAACATTTCTACTTATTGATCTGTTGCATGTTCCTGAAATAACTAAACACCTTCTCTCTGTGTCAAAGCTTTCTAAGGATAATCACGTGTTCTTCGAGTTTCATGCTGATACCTGTTGTGTGCGAGATGAAGTAACAGGCCATGTACTTCTTCAAGGAATGCAGAAAGGGGCACTTTATACGTTTACCTTGGATAGTCAGCTGAGTGTTTGTAATAATGCTAAAGCTTATGCAATTCATAATCGTTGTAACTCGTTTGAGCTTTGGCATAGGAGATTAGGTCATCCAGCATTTTCAACTTTGAAATTGGTTTGTAATTCAATTGCCATTGATATTCCAAATAATGCGAATCAGTTATGTGTTTTTTGAGTTAATCGATCGATGAAATTGGCCAAGAGGGGGTGAATTGGCAATTAAAATTTTGGTGGAAACTTTTACAGAAAATTGAAAAGATTTGCACAACGATTTAGAGTGGTTTGACTTTCTCAACCAAAGTCTACGTCCACTACCTTAGCTATCCACACTAAGGATTTTCCAACAAATTCACTAATTTGTTCTTTCTTTTGAGGACAAAGAGTAACCTTACAACTCCCTCAAGAATTATACCCCAATTCTTAAGCACACTCTTTTTCAAAGAGAAATACACAAATTTGTAAACTTACAAGGAAAACCTCACAAGGCAATATGTTTGCACAATTCTAGAACAAGATAAGAACACTCAAAGATAATTACAATCGAGCATAAATCGTGTTCTTGAAAGCAAAATGAATATTGAAAGAAAATTTGGCTTGAATTGCACAAACTTGATGTTTGATGCTTTCTCTCTTGTTTCTCTATGATTTATTCTTTATTGTTGTTGATCAATGGCTTCAGAACTTGTTTAAATACTCCTTCAAATGATTCTGAACGTTGGGGATGGTTAGTGGAGTCAATATAGCCGTTTAAGTGTGAAAACAATTAATAAAATCAGTTGGGAGCGTCAGTGCATCGATGCATACACTAGGTGCATCGGTGCATCAAGTGTAAAATTCAAATATCTTGACCGTTGGACCCTTAGTGCATCAGTGCACTAAGAGTGCATCGATGCATGAAATGCATTCGATGTTTCAAAATAGCCAGAGTGCATCGATGCATAGTATGTGCATCGGTGCATGAAATGCATTCGATGTTCAATTTATTCCATGGTGCATGGATTGGTACATCGGTCTGAAAAATTGATTTTAGGCTTGATTTTGGTTCAAAATACTTTGTGAAAATTGTTTCAAAAATTTATTAAGTATAAAACACAATTTTACACATTTAGTAAGGTTTGAAATTGATCTTGAAGACTTGAAGTAATAATTTGATATTCGAGTAATTAAATCGAATATACTTAGAAAATCATTTGTAAAATCTTAAAATTCATTTATACTTAATTTGTTATATCGAAACATCAAAATGTTTTCAACAATCTCCCCTTTTGATATAACAAAACATGTGTGTAATTTTAAGATTTTCTTTGAAAATAAATTTTGAAAAATTAAGCTTGAAAGTACTCCCCCTTAATTTAACACTTCTCCCCTTTACTTTAAATTTCTCCCCTTTACTTTAAACTTTCCCCTTTAAAACATTTTAACACTTAACATTTCTCCCACTTTTTATTAAATCAAAAAGACTTAAAAATGATTTAAACAAGGTTTTGAAAAACATAGCCAATTGATATATATATATATATATATATATATAGCTTAAGCTGCTAAGATCAAAGATCAAAAGAGAGATTAGCCATTAGTTTCATAATCAATATTCATAATCAAATGTGAAATGGCATAATTGGTCATAATGAACTAATATGATGCAAAAATTAATAAACATAAAGTTAAAATCAAACCAAATATATAAGCATGTAAGTTAAAATATCCAATTATCCAACAAATTCAAACATCCAAAATAAAACAATCCATGAACATCAAAATGTTTCACAATTCAAAGTTCTGAGTTCGGGATGATAAATCCATTGGCCCGTTTCCTTATCCTTTTTCCATCTTGTTTTCTTCAAGGAAGTAAGATTGATTTGGTTTTGAAGAGTGATAGAAATATCAGAAGAGACCCTAATACCAATTTGATAAACAAATTACTAAGGAGACAACCATAAACCAAGGTCTGTATATTCTTGGAAGGAATAGTGTTTATGGAAACTCACTAAAGATGATATATGGCATATTAATATTCTTTTTATGTTGGATATAGTATATCCACCATATATCTATGTTCCTAAGGGAGGAGTACCTACCTCCGGATGGTCTAAACCACCAAGAGATCATATAATGAAAGAATCTATCACGATAAGTTCTTAGGGTACTCTCACTATCCTTAGACATATAGGGTGAATCCACAATCTCTTTTTTTTATTAAACCTGAGTTATCTAGTCAAAAATGGGTAGTGATTGTGTCAGAGTCAATAAAAATGAATTGTCCTAAAAGATAGGATCGATTTCCTATAATTTCAGACTGTTGCTTGTTTTGGACACATACCACATTGGAATAGAAAAATACGGACAAATTGATGATAAACCAAAGGTTTGAGTTTAAAGAATTTATCAAACTTCTAGGATTTAAGAGTAGGAAGATATTAGAAGTCCATATCTTCTATAGCTTGGATCGAAGGGATATGTTCTTCCCGGATTTTGTATGACTCAAAACAAGTATGGTACCTATGATATAGATCTTGTCTACGACCAGGTACGTTGAAACTAGAGTTCAGAATGGTCATATTTGGGTTATTTGGATTGGGTGGAGGAATAAGAGGTTGGTTTTGACTTGAGCGACTAGACAATGTCCTAGGTCGTTTAGGATTTGACAAGGTTTATGAATCGGAATAGAATATATAACCTGCAAATTTAAACACATGTATGCAATATAATCAATCCCAAAACTCAATTGAGTCCGCAATAATTCAAGGTTCTCTAAACCGAATCCTAATGGGCATAGTTTTGAAAAACTATTTAGAAAATAATATTTGAAAATTATAATATGTATAGTTTTTCTTGAAAACAAAATAATTAAATCAAAAACATCAAATTTAGAAATCAAATTTAGATTTTCAATTTTTTTTAAATTTCGAAAATTCAAAAAATTCTTTGAAAATTTGTGAGTTTTTGATGAAATTGGTTGTAAAATCTAGTTTGAAATCATCAAACAATCAATGCCCGATATAATATTCATCCTAGAACTAGTCCTATGATCAAAATATGATAAACTAGAAGTTTTTTTTTATAGAAAAATACCTTGAAAATTTCGGATTGAAGAGAATGAGATGTTGTGTTGCACGATTTAATGATAATAGCAGGATATAGAGATGAAAAGCTCGAAGATTTGACAAATTTTTGTTGATTTTGAGCAAATGGAGATTTAGAGAGAGAGAGACGACAATGGAGTGTTTTTGAGGGTTTTGAAACAAAGAAGAGAAGCAAGGTTTTTAAACAAAACCCGATGGATGCATCGATGCAT